GTGGCTGTACCACGCTTTGTCCCCTTTATTTTCACTTGGTGATCCTGCCAGTGTGTTCATTTTTAACTTCCAGTCCAGCAAAACTGGCTGATAGAGAGTCGAGACAAACCATGAAACATTGGGGTGCTTAGACCCACTAAATTAGCTCACACACCAGTTACTGTCAAGGCATGCCAACTGTCAAGGTTGGCAGTGCGCTTTTTTTTCCCCCCAGCTCTCAACCAAACTTTAAAGTCCTCAAATTACTGGGGTCATAGCTGATAACATGTGCAGAACCATGGCAGCTGCCATCCAAATAGATGGTAAGATGGCATCCGCTTTTGCTGCAAGACATAAGAGGGTGTAGTTCCACTTTATGTTAAAGCTTCATCCCATCAGGAATTTTTTTTTGCTATAACTGCTTAAAAAGTGTTTGCAGGAGTTTGGCTTTAATTTGTTAGCCAAGTCCATCCAAGGGTTGCTCCTCCAGTAATGTAATGGAGTAATGCTAAGCCAGGAAGTGTGTTTCTGGCTGGATCAACAAGTGAAATAAAAGGAAAGAAGCCTAAAAATGAACATTAATGCAGCCACCACAATGAAGGATTGGAAAGCTGCAATATATTACACGTATGTCTTTAGGTTTAGATACTCTGAAGTGCACCTTTGCCCAGACTATGGACATATGTTTTACAGTAAAAGTTCTCCAAAACAAGCCAATCCCTGACCGCTAGCTCCTTTAAATGTGAAGTTACTAGTTTTAAAAGGCGACCGAAGACTCTTAAGTGCGAGTTCAATTGGTTTTAAACTGCTTAGAAACGCCCGATGGTTGTTCACGTTAGAAGGCAGGTAGCCTGCCAAGGTCTGCTCCCATAGAAAAAACACAATGCCTGTGTTAGCAACTTTGTAAATACTTTAGAGAGTCTGGGCACAAGTTCACCTGATAACAATGGTGCATATTTGTATCATTCAAAAAAAAAAAAAGGATGAAAGATCACACGACGTCCTTTTTCTGTGCTGACCCGATCCGTACGCTCCTGCACTAAAAATGCATCCCAATGTGTTTTATGGGCTACAGTTCTCACGTGCGCAGTCCGTTCAGGTTACCACAGAAAAAATACTGCATGTCACATTTTGTCCGGTCAGGAAATGCAAAACGCGTCAAAAACACACTGCAGCTAACATACTGACAGCCCCACTCCAGCAAAAAAAACTGGAACGCATCAAAACGCACTGCATCAGTAGCACCGCGTCTGCAGATCCGCACCTGATATCATGTGAACAGGCCCTGAGACCAGATAATGTTGAGGGATACAGGGGAGAGCCAAAGGTCGCTAAACTCAAAACAAAAATGTAATATATCGCAGCTTACCAATCCTTAATTGTGGTGGCTGTACCACGCTTTGTCCCCTTTATTTTCACTTGGTGATCCTGCCAGTGTGTTCATTTTTAACTTCCAGTCCAGCAAAACTGGCTGATAGAGAGTCGAGACAAACCATGAAACATTGGGGTGCTTAGACCCACTAAATTAGCTCACACACCAGTTACTGTCAAGGCATGCCAACTGTCAAGGTTGGCAGTGCGCTTTTTTTTCCCCCCAGCTCTCAACCAAACTTTAAAGTCCTCAAATTACTGGGGTCATAGCTGATAACATGTGCAGAACCATGGCAGCTGCCATCCAAATAGATGGTAAGATGGCATCCGCTTTTGCTGCAAGACATAAGAGGGTGTAGTTCCACTTTATGTTAAAGCTTCATCCCATCAGGAATTTTTTTTTGCTATAACTGCTTAAAAAGTGTTTGCAGGAGTTTGGCTTTAATTTGTTAGCCAAGTCCATCCAAGGGTTGCTCCTCCAGTAATGTAATGGAGTAATGCTAAGCCAGGAAGTGTGTTTCTGGCTGGATCAACAAGTGAAATAAAAGGAAAGAAGCCTAAAAATGAACATTAATGCAGCCACCACAATGAAGGATTGGAAAGCTGCAATATATTACACGTATGTCTTTAGGTTTAGATACTCTGAAGTGCACCTTTGCCCAGACTATGGACATATGTTTTACAGTAAAAGTTCTCCAAAACAAGCCAATCCCTGACCGCTAGCTCCTTTAAATGTGAAGTTACTAGTTTTAAAAGGCGACCGAAGACTCTTAAGTGCGAGTTCAATTGGTTTTAAACTGCTTAGAAACGCCCGATGGTTGTTCACGTTAGAAGGCAGGTAGCCTGCCAAGGTCTGCTCCCATAGAAAAAACACAATGCCTGTGTTAGCAACTTTGTAAATACTTTAGAGAGTCTGGGCACAAGTTCACCTGATAACAATGGTGCATATTTGTATCATTCA